CTGAAGTCAGACGCTTAACCGACTAAGCCACCCAGGCACCCCTCCTTTCTTTATCTTATTTAGCGTGTGTCTCTGTCTGTAGAATGCCAGCTCTTTGAAGGCACAGATTTTGTCTTGTTTTGATCACAGCTGTGTTCCTAGTGCCCAGAACAGGGCTTGGCATAAGGTAGATGTTCAGTAAATATCTGTCTGGTGAACCACATTTCAGGGTGCCGTTGTGGAAAGAATCAGTAAACCACACCTACACCCTCTTTTCTTCTCCCAGGGCTGGAATCCACCTTGGGAGAGACACAGAGCCAGACACAGGGAGGAATGAATGAATGAATGAATGAATGAATTCATTCATTCATTCATTCATTCAACAAATATCTTTTGCATATGGAGTATGTACCCTTCCAGGCACTGGTGACACAGTCTGCTCTCATGAGGTTTGCATTTCTAGCAGGGGAGACAGGAAACTCGATATTGCTGTTAGGTATGCTGTGGTGACTGTAGAAAGTATAAAGCACAGAGAAGGGAGACATGAGGAGGTGTTTATGGAGCACTGACTCTCTAAAGAGATGGCTTCGTGCAGCGAGGGAGAGGCCGGTGAGCGTCCAGGGCAAAGGAGGATTGGGGTGAGGGATCGGGAACACCAAGGCCCAAAGGCTGGGCACTTGTATCTGCCTCACATTTGCCTGTTTCGCTGCAAGAGCAGCTCTGCTTTGCCCTCTGGCTCCTGGGATCCCTGACAAGAGAAGGTCTGTGCGCCTTCTAGAGGTTCAAATAAGGCTCAGTGCTTAGGTTCCGTTCAGGGCCCTGTGGGGACCAGAATCCTAAGCTTTGAATCGGCGGCGGGGGCTGCATGATGGAGAAACTGGGTGAAAATCCCAGCCCCAGCACTGTGTGGACTTCAGGCCCGGGGCTTCTGTGCCTCAGTTTTCTCCTCTCTGAACAGGGCTCATAATTTTACTTCCTGACCTCTGGGGTTTGAAGTGAAACCCAGAGACATCATGCCTAAACGTTATTTAACACAGAATACCTTTTTTGAGGTAGGTTTTTTTTTTTTTTTTTTTTTTTTTTTTTTTTTTTTTTTTTTGTAGTATGTGTGTAAAAACTTCGAAACCTCCAGAAAAGTTGAAGACCTTAAGATTTATGAAGACCCCTAAACCCTTCATCTAGATTCAATTAACATTCTGTCGCTTGCTTTACCTTTTGTGCATGCACCTAATGTGTATATGTGAATACATGTGTAGTATATATTTTTTATAGTATTTGTGCATATATATAAAATACATATATATTTAAAAAAATTTTTTTTGGCGAAAATGAACCATTTGAGAATAAGTTGCAAACATCATCACATTTCACTCCTAGAACTTTGATAGGCATCCCCCCAAAAGAGGTATCTTTGGGAATGATCCACAGTACCATTGTTGCATGAAGGGAATGGACATTAACTCTACCATATCATTTAGGGTCCATTCCATATTTAAAATTTTCCAATTGTTAAAAAATATTGGGGAGCCTGGCTGGCTCAGTCAGAAGAGCTCTGACCCTTGACCTTGGGGTCGTGGGTTTGAGCCCCATGTTGGGTGTAGAGGTTACCTGAAAATAAAATTTTTAGGGGTGCCTGAGTGACTCAGTTGGTTAATGATGCTTGGTTGGTTCCCCATGGTCTCATGATTCATGGGATTGAGCCCCATGTCAGGCTCTGGGCTGACGGCAAAGAGCCTGGTTGGGATTCCCCTCTCCCTCTCCCTCTGTCTCTCTCTCTATATATATATGGTTCATGAGTTCGAGCCCCACATCAAGTTGTGTGCTATCAGCGCAGAGCCCGCTTCAGATCCTGTCTCCCTCTGTCTCTGCTCCTCCCCCACTTGCTCTCTCTCTCTCTCAAAAATAAATAGGCATTAAAAAAATTAAAAATATGTCTCATAAAATTGACTCAGCCAGGTCTCTTTCTAAATATCCCATCTTCTGGATTTCTCTGCTTGTTTTCTCCCAGACTCAGATGAAACATTGTTGGCAGGAATGCCACTTGGGTGAGGGTGTGTGTTTCTTACTGCACATGATTCCAGGCTGTCCCTGCACTGGTAGCTGCATTCAACCCCTAAGTGAAGTTGGTCACTGTCATAATGCAGCCAACAGATGCCCTCCTAACAGCCAATTATGCCTCCAAACAGAAGGACCCAGAGCAAATCTAGCTTTTGCTGCTGGGAAGTCACCCTTTGCAACCCTGGGAAGTAACTTCAAAGTAATCTCCCAGATTCAGTTTGCCCATCTGTAAAATAAGAGTTAATAATAGCCCCTAGCCTATTCTCTGCTTTTTCTCCATGTAACACATTGTCTATTTTACTTTCTTATCTGTTGCCTTTTCCTAGGGAATGATTGCATGCAAAGGGCAAGTGTTCTTGTCCGGTTTTTGCCTTGCTAGGTGCCCAGCACCTGACACATAGTAGGCCATCGATAAGGATTTATTGAATGAATGAAGTTAGGGGTACAGATTAGCGTCCTGCTCATGGGAAGGGTTTCATACATGGTTGACTCCTATACCCTCTGGGCTGGGCACACTGTAAGGCCCCTGGAATGATCACGTGTTGTAGGAAGGGGAAGGGGCATCTGCTTCACCCATTCCTGTGTCTTTACCTTGCAGGAGACCAGCCACTGACTGGGGCCTACTCAGTGACCCTGGATGGACGAGGCCCCTCAAGGGTCATCTCCAAACACGACCTGGGCCACTTCATGCTGAGCTGTCTCACTACTGATAAATACGACGGGCACAGTACCTACCCCTCCCACCAGTACGACTAGGGATCTGACCGCATCCAGGAGGACGGCCTTCTGAGAAATGGAGAACAGAGGAAAGGAGCAATAAATCTTGAGCCCAGAGCTTCACGTTATTCTAGAAGACCCGACTCTGACTCTTCCTCTGTCTGGCTTTGTCTGGCTGATTCGGTGTCTCTATCTGCCTCTGTGTAAGATTTTCCTTCATTTCTTCATCTGGCCCTGTGCTGGAGACCAGGTGAGGACTATGAGGACCCAGGGGGTGACCCTCCCTTCACAGATCTCACAGTCCAGTGAGGAAGACACCCTTGCCCGTGACAGTGACCACCCAGAGTGGCCAGGGCTCTGAAGGAGGAAGTCCAGAGGGCTTAGGAAACTACCTAAGCCAGCTCCAGGAGCAAACAAGTTAATAATACTTGGCTCGGAGGGGAGGAGTGGTCAGCCCCAAGAGGCTGTTATATGGAAGCTAAATTGTGCAGAATCATTGTAAAAAGCTTGAGCTTCATTCTAAGGTTCTGTGCTAGGAGGGGAGCAGGAGAGAGGTGGAGAGGGGCACAGTCAAGTTTATGTTTTATAAAGCTGCCCTTGACTGCTGTGTGAATGTGGATCGGAGGCGTGCAAGAGTGGAGGCTAGAGCCCCAGGGCACCAAGACAGAGGCCTTGACAGGGGCAAGAGAGTGGAGGTGAGTGGAGCTGGACAGTCCATGATGGAGGGGAGAGAGGCATCCAGGCTTCATGGGACTGGAACCTAGAGATGGAGTTACAGTGAGGCCACTCTGACATGGGGCCTCTGGAAGAGGGGCAGGATTGGGTGGGGGGTGGAGAATGACCCCTTCCTAATCATGTCTCTCTTTGGAATCTACTGTCCCCTGCCCATGTTACCCAGAGACACCTTTTGCAGGTTTGAGTGAGCCACTCCTCTGTCCCCACTTCACAGTCTCCCCCACCTACCCACCCAACGCCTTCCCCTCCAAAAAAAAAAAAAAAAAAATTCCATTCCAATCATATATTGCTTCTGCAAGCAGCAGGATGACTGGTTGACAAATTCCAACCCGTGAGAACTGGTCTGAGGAGGCTTAAACCTCCCTTCCCAGGGGTAGCCTGGAAAAAACTCCCTCTCCCTCCTCTTGGTGAAACTTTTAGGGGTAGGGCAATACTGGTTCAGGCTTTCAGGGCACTAGCTCAGGTTTTTTGGTTTTGGTTTTGGTTTTTTTTCTGCCCTCTTTCTCCTTCTGTCACATTGGGCATATTTAAAAAACTTTCACTGGATGCCTGCTTTGCGTCCATGTGCTGGGTGATGCTACGGACCAAGCCCTGGGTGACAGAGATAACCTCAGTACCTGCCCTCAGGGCCAAGAATGGGAGACATGGGCAGAGGGGTCAGGGTCAGGATGGGGGGAAGCCCAGAACACCATAGGAGCCCAGAATGGGTCCTAACCCACTCAAGCATCAAGGGAGGGCTTCTGAGAGAAGGAAATCTTTGAGATGAGACCTGGTGAGAAACAGTCTGGGAACGGAAGGTGTACTTTCAGGATGGGGAAACAAGTTTAAAGATCCAGAGGCCCTTTATTGTCATTTTTGAGTACTTGCTATGTGCCTAAAGCATTGGGGTTAAGGCAGGGAAGAAAACAGACAAAATCTGTGTTTATGGTGGTGGCGGGCACTCGAAGTCATTTTAGAAAAACCGAGAGTCAATCTGTGGTCGGATCACAGGGAGCAAGGAGTGTGTTTCAGGGACCAGACCGTGAAGGGCTTTGTGGCAAAAGGGAGGAGTTTGGATTTTGTCCCCAGGGGAGTAGCGAGCAAGTAACGAGTTCCCAGCAGTGCCATCCTGAGAGGGGAAGGATGGGGCGTCGGGGGTTGCAGGAGAGACCAGCGCAGGACGTGCTGAGAAGTCCTGAAGATTAAGAAAAGGGCCTCGGGGTAAAGTACCGGGGGGCGGGAGCACAGGAACTGGGCTGCGATCGCCCAGGCAACGTAGGCCGCGCCAAACTATTGGCTGGTCTTCAGCTACGTCATCCTCCGCCCCGCAGCGTCCGCCCTCGGAACCCCGGGGGCGCGGCCTCCGCGAGTGGCTCAGCCCCGCCCTCCTGGAAAACAGGGTGGGGAGGGTCGTGCCGACCAGCCTCGCTCCCCGACAGGGTCCTCACCTGGTATAAAGGCATCGCAGAGATCAATGTTGACGACTTTGGAGCGAGAACAGTGGCTGAACTGAAGGAAACAGTTCTGACGTCCCCGCCACCCTCCACCCTAGAGACGTGGCCCCTCCCCCGGGCGAGTCGGAATCCTTTAAAAGGTCCGGGGTGTAAGGAAAGGGAGGGCCGGCTGGGTGTCCCCTGGCGACGGACCGGTGGCTCCACCCAGCCAATCCGCGCCCCGCAGCGGGCAGGGCTCCAGCCAATCGCGGCTCGCGGTTCGGCTCCTGGGCGGAGCCGGGTGGGCCGGAGGCCAAACCAAGAGGCCCTGGGGAGGTGAGCGAGGCTCGTACCCAGCACTGTTGGGTTGTAAAAGCTACGGACGTTCCACGACTTGGTCATTGCGAACCTGGCAGCTGAGGTGAGAGAGTCCACCTGGCTTGAGATTTGCCTTAGTTTAGGGAAGGTGGAGGCGCGCCCCCCGAGAGTCGTGGAGGCGGGGTCTGGGCGTGAGTCGGGGGCGCAGATAAGGGTAACTGATAGGGTTGGTGGGGCTTCGAGACTGAAATCGATTTCCCGGACTGAAGGCGAAGTTGTTGGGGCAAGATCTTCAAGTGGAGGGAGTTTGAAGCTGGGACATGGGGTGTTTGGAGAAGCGAGAGAACCGAGGAAGGAACTTTTGGGGCAGGAAATCTGGAGATTAGGACAATTCGAGTCTCCCGGACGGGTTGAATTCGGGGCTCTAGTGTTCTGGAAAAGGGGTGAGGGGTTGGAGCTGGGATCCTGAGCATTTGGAAAAACGGAGATAACTACGGGCAAGGAATCTTGGTAAGGGAGACGCAGTGGCGGTGAGGAGGTGCTGGTGAGAGTCCCATATTCAGGTCTTGGAGTCAGAGGGAGAGTTTGGAGGTGAAGTCGAAAGGCATTTGAAAGACGGGAGAAAAGGGGAAAGTTGACGGGTGAAGGTATCAGAATTAGTCTCCCAAACGGAATAAATCAGACAGCATTTGTAGTTTTTGAGCGATGTGTTGGAGCCTGGGTTTCTGGACCCGAGAGCAGTTTGGGGAAAGAATCTAGGACCTCTTTGGGGTGCGAAACCCGAGAGAAAGCAGTTTTAGGGCCGGAGTCTGGGGTGGGGGAGGGGCGTTCCGGGCTTGGAGCTCAGACCCGCAGCCCTAGAGGCAGCAGAGGGCGGGGCTCGGCAGGCGCCGGGCAGCTGGACGTCCGGGTTCCCTTCCCCCACCCGCCCCGGGCACTTGTGCGCATGCCTTAAGGGAGGGCGGGGGAGGTTCGTCCCAAAGGCGTGCGGCACCCTCTGGGTATTGTAGTGCAAGCTCAACGTTACCGCACGTGCCAGGCGGCTATTGGCCCACATTTCCCAGAAGCCCCTGGGCCAAATTGTTGCCTGCCTGGACGTTGAATAGAGATCCAGGGAGGAGGCGGAGTCGGGCGTTGAGTCAAGTTTTAGCAAGTTTCTTGTGGGGCGCGCTTTGGGGGAAGTCGAAGGCGCGGGGTAAGAGAATGAGGGAGGCTCCTTCCCTGCTCTTGGGAGAGCTCCCAGTCGGTTAGGAAGAGGGTATGGTCAGAAATATACTCCCTGTAAAAGAAGAGTTTCGACAAATAGGTGTCCTAACAGGGCTTCGGTGGCCCTAATACAACAGGCAACAATAGATAAATATTGAATGAATAAATGGCAATTAAATTCTTCTTCGTTAAGCGTTAACTGTAGATGGGTACCGTGTATATTACACATCGGATCTCCTTGAGAATACGGTGAGAATTTTTACATTCCTCTTTTTACAGATGGGGAAACAGACCCAGAGAGGTAATGTCACATAACTTACAAAGATCAAACAGCTGAGCAGTGTCAAAGGCAGAATTCAAATCCAGGTTTCCCTGCCTCCAGTCCAGGTCTCCGTACTCCACAGCTGTCATACGTGACACTGTTGAAGAAACGAGTATTGTAGAAAGAACAGTGTTAAGACTCAGGAACTTGATCCTCATCTTACAGCTGAGGTAATTGAGTCTCAAGGAGGCAAATTCACCATTCAAGGCCACACAGGCAAGTAGGGGGATGCAAACCCACCTATGTTTCAATCCAGATCTTGTTTTCTTAGTCATTTACATTTAGTCTCCTCCTCAGCCCTGTGGAATTCATATCATGTCCATTTTATAGATGAGGAAACAGGTTTAGATCATAAAAATGAACAACAACCGGGAGGTGCCTGGATGGCTCAGTCGGTTAAGTGTCTGATTCTAAATCTGCACTCAGGTCTTGATCTCAGGGTCCTGAGTTCAAGTCCCGCATTGGGCTCCACACTGGGCATGGAGCCTACTTAAAAACCAAACAACCATACAGGAAATTCGGGATCTGAATTATCCCTGCGGTGTCTGACTTGCCCCTCTTCTCTCTACAGGGCATCATGGTAGGAGGCTTGAAGAGAAAACACTCAGATTTGGAGGAGGAAGAGGAGGATGAGAAGTGGGACTGGGGTCCAGCAGGCCTGCGGAGCTACCAGCAAGCCCTGCTTCAAATCTCCTTAGACAAAGTCCAGCGGAGTCTGGGCCCCCGAGCACCCAGCCTACGCAGGCATGTCCTCATCCACAATACCCTCCAGCAGCTTCAGGCCGCCCTTTGCCTGGCTCCAGCACCTGCCCTACCCCCTGAGCCCCTCTTCCCGGGCGAGGAGGACTTCTCCCTGTCCGCCACCATCGGCTCTATTCTCAGGGAACTGGAGACCTCCATGGACGACACGGAGTCCCCTCAGAATCCAGTAGCTCCCCCGGGCCCCCAGAACGAAGTGCTGCCCCAGCCTGATCCAGTCTTCTTGGAAGCTCTGAGCTCCCGGTATCTGGGGGACTCTGGTCTGGATGACTTCTTTCTGGACATTGACACATCTGCAGTGGAGAAGGAGCCTGCACTGGCCCCACCGGAGCCTCCTCACAACCTCTTCTGTGCCCCAGGGTCCTGGGAGTGTAATGAACTTGATCACATTATGGAAATCATTCTGGGATCCTAAAACTTCCAGGGGCTGTTTCTCATCTCTGCCTCAGTGGGCAGGATCCCTGGATGCAACTGTGTGTGTGTGTGTGTGTGTGTGTGTGTGTGTGTGTG